TATAAAGGTACATGGAGCGTTTGGGATAATCTAGGGCCTTGGTCACAGCATGTGCTTCGATGTGTTGACCGGGCCTGGGTTCAACGGAGGCGTGAAAAGCACAGAAATCATTATTCCTTGTAGCACCATACTACCCTATATGGGAGTTTCCGAAAATTAGGGTACCTTATTTAGGGGTCCTTATAATAAGGATCCTATTATTTAGGGTACTATATTAGGGTCCCCTATTTTCGGAAACCCCCATATTCTACCCCTGAGCCACGTTAAGGCTAGTACGTTTTGAGTTCTCGCCCCGAAATCCGGGCTGGACATGTTTTAATGCGGCTTTTGCTGGCTGCATTCCAGGCTCAGGGCCTTTGACTGAGAGGCTTACCGTCGCCCTTGCAGAACCCATAAATTCGGGGCCTTTGACCCTGAAATGATGCTCTTTATCAGTACAGTTGCTATCAGTAGTATTAGCATTACTATACTATTGCTACTAGTGCTTTGTTATTAGTATCGTGTTATGACTTTGGTCATAACTATGTTATTGTTGTTCCTGTGAACTGTTATATTGAAGTATTCGGATGAGTATGGGCCTAACCCCTGAACCTTGACCCCTGTGTACCCAGATCGAGTGTACGACGATACCTTGCAGCTTCAACTGGCGCCTTGTCGTCTGAGGTTCAGGGCGGGTTCTCTTAAGGGGTCCTTTAGGGGGTCTATAGTGAAACGCAGAAAGTTGGAACTTGCATTTGGGGTGACTAGTGCTGGGATCCCCGTATACTTTACCTGAAGGGCATGAGGATATTAATGTTCCAACTTTTTGGCTTCTGCTGTATGGGATTTTGGACTTATGGTTTAGGGTTTAGGGTGTAGGGTTCAGGGGATTCGGTGCTGAGAGTTTTGCGCTCTGAGGGTACTTACTCTGTACTTTCGCCAGCTGTGTATTTGTCGGCTATGATTCTCTGTCCTTCCTGCGGCTTTTTTTCGGTAAGCTCTAAGCAAAAAACCAGGCTTATCATTTAGAGACCCTAAACCCTAAACCCTAAACCCTAAGCCTCCAAACCGCCTCAACCATAAACCGACCGCATTTCGAGTAGGAGTCTCGGCATGTTGTAATTTTCTTTGTATTCTACGTGCAACTTATGCAGAAATTTGCATAATCCCTTTTTAGACTCCAATTGAGGGTTCAGGGTTCTGAGTAGTCGAGGATAGATTTTGAAACTGAAGCTTTATGCTCCAAATCCCGACAAACCCCGTCAAGGTCGTATACCCTTGACCCTGACCAGGGAAGATAATGAACACCGCCACCCCAGCATCTGAAAAAGAAAGTGCTCGGGTACAGTAGGGACCGTCAGTGAGTCAGGTAAGCACGCATGAGTAATATAGAAGCCTAGTAGCACTTGTGCAGATTTGATGAAATGAAGCGCTTTTCTGCTGCATGAAACCTCAAGGGTTTTGTCAGTAGGTAGTTTCCTTCAATGGTCGCTTGGCGCTCCCTCTTACAAGGGTTATTCGTGGAGGCGCTAAG